AATTAAGAGCCTGAGTCAAAGTCTATTGAAGGGAATGAAAAGAATCCCATTGGACTTTAATCGGCTTCGGATCGGGCCCTTAGTGTCAGAGGGATTGAGGGCTTGCATGCCAAATTCCAGCCTCAAGCTCTTTGTTCAAGTTGAGTCATTATAATCATGTCACTGATAATAACAGGTTTCTAGAGCTGTGAGAAAAATGGAGCCCCGTCAGCAACACCACAAGGACTTATTTTGAATGGCTTCACAAAAAGCAAAGTATTTTACAGCTTCTGTTCAAGGATTCAACCCTGCAGCCCTTATGCTTAGCAGTGCTTACCCACAGGAGTCAATGGAGCTAATCACATAACTGAGACTGAGCAGGAAGGAGGCCCCTCCTGCAGAGGCAGGTTCCAAATGGTTTGCTGCTTTTCCACACCCAGGAACTCTTACGTTGTAGTCATTCACATTGCAGGGTTTAACTATAACAGTTAGATCTCTACTGTCAGAGACCAAAATATACAGTAAGGAGTCTGAATACTCAAAAGTGACCAGAACATTTATGAGTTCTAGAAGAGATACTGGATCAAGATACAATTGTATTTAGCAAGGATTAACTAATATGTCATCCACATTTTATTATATTATCTAAAATGTATTTCATGAAAAAAAACAGATACCAAATGACTAACATGCAATACCTGTTTTATTGAAGCCAACATAATGGCATATTTGAGAACATTGTTCGAAGTGTTCACTCCGGAACAAGATCATCTCTGAAGCTGTGCAGTGAAGCTGTGAGCATATAGGTTTCAATCCTCTTCCTACTGGTTTAGCCTGCTGTGGCTGGCATTTCTGGACCAATTTTGTATTTGTCCATGTGGAAAAGGAGATGGAATTAAGGAAATGTGTTCTGATCCCCCTTCCTTATATTTAAATAGCCTCTTTTAAAGTGCAAAGAACATTTTGTTCAATTTCTTTTTGAGTATCATTGCTTTACTAATTCTAAGAAGGTTATACAAGGAGATGGGGATGCTTTTAAGTACTGTTTTGCAGAATCCACTGTTGTGCACCTTGTCATTTTCTGTTCTGTGGGACACTCTCTTAGGACTAGGACTTTGTACTGCCCCCCTGAGGTCTTGCACAGAGTACAGCTAGGACAGGTTGGCCATTGACTTCAGTGGAACTTCTCACAGCAATAGGTGCTTAGGGCCAGACCTGCAGTCAGATCAGAGTGAGTGGACCTACACGCCCATGCAAATCACATTGAAATCAATGGAGCTCAGCGGGGATGCAAAGGATTTGATTATAAAACTGGGATCTAAACCAAAGAGAAAAAGTTTGCAGGCTCAGGCCAGGTGTACAGGTATTGCAGTTAATGGATTTGGGTGCAGCTTCAAAATTACTATAGATTATTTTCTTCTTTAAATTAAATGGGAATTTCAATAGGGGTGTTAAGGATATTAACATTAGGGCCTGATCTAAAGGAATTACAAACCAGTTAGTTGAACTTCAGTGCCCGGAAAGATAATGGAGCAAATAGTCAAGCAATCATTTTGCAAACACCTAGAAGATAAGGTGATAAGTAACAGTCAACATGGATTTGTCAAGAACAAATCATGTTAAATCAACCTAATAGCTTTCTTTGACAGGATAACAAGCCTGGTGGATAGGGAGGAAGCCATAGATGTGGTTTATTTTAACTTTAGTAAAGGCTTTCGATACTGTCTTACATGACCTTATCATAAACTAACTAAGGAAATGTAGCCACCCTAGATGGAGCTACTATAAGGTGAGTACATTACTGGTTGGAAAACCATTCGCAGAGAGTAATTAGCAGTGATTCACAGTCAAGCTGGAAGGGCATATTGAGTGGGGTCCTGCAGGGGTTGGTCCTGGGTCCAGTTGTGTTCAATATCTTCAGAAGTGATTTAGCTACTGGCATAGAGTACAGTTACAAAGTTTGTGGATGATACCAAGCTGTGAGGGGTTGCAAGTGCTTTGGAGGATAGAATTAAAATTCAAAATGTTCTGGACAAGGTGGAGAAATGGTCTGAAGCAAATAAGATGAAATTCAATAAAGACAAATGCAAAGTACTATACTTAGGAAGGAACAATCAGTTGCACACATACAAAATGGGAAATGACTGCCTAGGAAGGAGTACTGTGGAAAGGGATCTGGGGCTTACAGTGGATCACAAGCTAAATATGACTCAACATTGTGACACTGTTGCAAAAAAGCAAACATCATTCTGGGATGTATCAGCAGGAGTGTTGTAAACAGGACACAACAAGTAATTCTTCCACTCCGTTCTGATAAGGCCTCAACTGGAGTATTGTGTCCAGTTCTGGTCGCCATATTTCAGGAAAGATGTGGACAAATTCGAGACAGTCTAGAGGAGAGCAACAAAAATGATTAAAGGTCTCGAAAACATGGCCTATGAGGGAAGATTGAAAAAAAATGGGCTTGTTTAGTCTGCAGAAGGAAAGACTGAGTGGGGACATAATTTTCAAGCACATAAAAGGTTGTTACAAGGAGGAGGGAAAAAATTGTTCTCTTTAACCTCTGAGGATAGCACAAGAAACAATGGGCTTAAACTGCAGCAAGGAAGGTTTAGACTGGACATTAGGACAAAATTTCCTAACTGTCAGACTGGTTAAGCACGGGAATAAATTACCTTGGGAGGTTGTGGAATCATCATCATTGTCTAACCTGCTCTTAAAAATCACCAAACACCTGTCAGGGATGGTCTACTTACTCCTACCTTGAGTGCAGGGGACTGGACTAGATGACCTATTGAGGTCCCTTCCAGTCCTATAATTCTATGATAAGTGTGTTTGAAATATTCATAGATTGCTTGTACCAGACATGTATTCCTTTTACTGTTTTTCTGATGATTTTTTTCCATGAAAAGCTCTAACATGATACTGCCAAATTAGGCCTTCATTCCAAACCTGTTTTCTCTCTGGATTCTATGATCAATTTTAAATCATGGAGTTGGACAAACTCGAAGTTAATTAACTGATTTGGAAAACTGACCTGGACCAGGAACCAAATTTGATCCTTGAGAAAAAAGTGCCCCTTGTCCATATGGAAGGAAAATACCATCATTAATTAGAGCTACAATCAAGGTGAATTGCATGTACCTGTTTACAGATGACCCACACAAGTATTTGAAAACCCTATCCCAGACTTTTAAAGCTCTTGTGAGTACATAATAGGCATCTGGTATACCTGAAGTAAAAGTGGCCCCAAAAAGTCTTGAGCTTTTCAGAGACTTTAACAAGCTGCTTGTACTTTTTACTGACTTACTGAAGGAAATAGAATGTAGAGGAAAATTCCAGTAAAACTGTATGTAAACCAAAGGTTTGTTTTTGTTTGTGTGGATTAGCATTCACACATTTCCTGATACGAGACTTCCTATTAGTGATGTCTAACTTTAACCACAGATCCAGAGTTGAGGAATAACTCCCAAAGTCAATTTCCTGATTAAGCTGGGAAAGATCAAAGGTTAATTTCACAGCCTTATGGTTAGAAAGCCAACAGCTACCACATAGCCATGTTTTAACTGTAACATATAAATTTATTACAAATATTAGTTAAGGGAGACAGTGTGGTCTAGCAATTACACCAAAATGTTGGAAAACAAGGTCTGTGGGGTTCAAATGTGGCTTCAGTTGCCTACTCACGCTGGGTAAAATGCATCTACATATAGCCTGTGTGAATAGACAGGATCACCCACTAGTGTGGTATATGGCAGCCTTGAAGCCAGGGTCCCTGACATCTCCTTACACAAGGGTTTGTGACCACTGGTTTTGCATAGTCACAAGCCAAATATCCAGGACACCCTCCTCTACACCCGATATCCTGTTGTAGACCTCTCCTGTGCACTCACTCCATGGGAATAGGAGCAGGCAGTGAGACAGACAGGTAAGACTACATGTACTAGAAAACCCACTGTCTCAAACTCAAAATATTTTTGAACATATTGTTTGGCTCATTCTTTTAGTTGGTAGTTAACATGGAGGATGGATGAATATGCAAATAGTACTGAACTAGATACTACTACAGTACCACAATCAGCATACATAGACAGCTCTGTCTTTCCATTTAGCTGTCATAAAGGACAATCCTCAGGACCGATGCTGTATTGTAAATAAAATAATAGATAGCTGAAAGGTATCAGTGGGCTTGTTGTTAGGAGGAGTATTTGTTTTTAAAAGTAAAAAATAATGTAAACAAGAGTGACACATACCAAAAATTGCTAGGAAACCCAAACTTAAGGCTGACACTCCATGTTCAATTTACACTACTCTACCTTTTCCTCCCCCATCAAGCCTTGTCTACACTTTCAGGTTGCACTGATTAGTTTCAGCTAAACTAACTAATTCAGAAACTGGATTCCCTAAATCAGTGCAACCCTGTAGTATGGCTCTTCTTAAATCGGTTCAAGAATAGAGCTGGTTGGAACCAGCTAAAGTTTGGGTATTTTTGAAATTGCTTTTATTCTATTCGGATTTACCAACATTTCTCAACAAAACTAAGACTCCTCAAATGTTTCTGAAATGAAATGGAAATTGACATTCTTGTCAATTGCTATTCAGTGATTAGCAACTGTGAAACTGACAAGAATGTCGGTTGCAAAGTTATTGCCACTGTGTTGGTCCCCGTATAAGAGAGAGATGAGGTAGGTGAGTTATATTTTATTGGACCAACTTCCTTCTGTTGGTGGAAGATACAAGCTTTCAAACTGTGTATCTCGAGGTGTGTAGCTCGAAAGCTTATACCATCCACCACCAGAAGCTGGTCCAGTAAAAGATTCCTCACCTATCCTGTCTCTCTCAAAAATATCAATAGCACTTAGCTGCTCTACAGCAGGGAGCCTACCAGCTCCAGGAGAACCAGCTCCAGCCAGGGTTCCCAGGGCTGCTGCTGTGGTGTGGGGAGCCTGGTAGCCAACACAACCCCAGATAATGGCTTGTGTAAGTAGAGAAGGAGAACAGATGATTAGAGAGAATTCTGCTTAGGATGAAAATATTCTTTTTATTACTCTTCAGGCTTGTCTACAATTGCCAATTTATACTTTGGAGTTGACCCTTGCTTCTGTTCTGCAAAGAGGTGATGATTTCATGTGAGCATTATTCATACTTGTTTAATGAATAGTGTTTACAAACATATTTGAGACAGATGATCATCAACTGTTTATCATGTGTTCATTTGAATACCTGATAGTTGGAATTCACTTTTCAGCCTCTGTGATTGGTCACTGTCACAGGGTGCTCCACTCACCACTTGTCTGGCACCTCCTCCTGGTCACTCTGGGAATTCTCTGAAGACTGACACCCCTTCCTGGGGTTGCACGCCATCACACCATCTTTCTCAGGCAGGGGTAGGCAACCTATGGCACGTGTACTGAAGGTGGCACACGAGCTGATTTTCAGTGGCACTCACACTGCCTGGGTCCTGGCCACCAGTCCGGAGGGCTCTGCATTTTAATTTAATTTTAAATGAAGCTTCTTAAACATTTTAAAAACCTTATTTACTTTACATACAACAATAGTTTAGTTATATATTATAGACTTATAGAAAGAGACCTTCCAAAAACATTAAAATGTATGACTGGCATGCGAAACCTTAAATTAGAGTGAATAAATGAAGACTTGGCACACCACTTCTGAAAGGTTGCCGACCCCTGCTCTCAGGTCTCCAGCTCCTCTCTCATTCCAGGAACCACAGCATCTTCTTTGTGACTCAGCCCTCCAGCTACGTCACTCAGTGTTCCCACCACTTCTGGGGTATATCCAAGTCTTTCCATTCAGAACCACGCCTTCAGGGCTGGTAGGGGAACCCAGGCCCATCCTCCACTTCCAGTCTAGGGACCCTCACCTCAGAAGCTCTTGACTTTACTGTCCCGGCCCTCACTACTCCTTCCCCAGACTGCTTCCTACTCTTCTAGCTTCCCCCTCTCTGGGAGTACCAGCTCCAAACCCTCTTCCCAGGGAGCGAGTGCTGCCCCAGTCTGTGGCCAGCTTCCTTGCTTTATAGGCCCTGCCTCTTCCTTCCCAGCTGAGCCTGCTTGCAATCAATCCTTACTCCCTGGCTCTTCCTCCAGTTGCATAGGGTAATCAAACACCCGTCTGGGGGAAATTGCCAAAAAGCCGAACATGTCTGGGAAAATGCCAGCATTACTGAAGCAGCTGGGGAGGGGAGTGTTTGTTCCTTCATTCCCCAGGGGACATGTTTGTGTGTCTGCATTTTCAGAGGAGTTGCGGGGAGGATCGGAACTTTCAACAGGACGCAGGTCTGGGGAGGTGGCATATGATCATGGGAAAGCCAGGCGTGGGCAAAGGCAGAGATCGTGTATGCTCTGCTTGCCGGGACCTGGCTTGTCCAATTCCTCTGCACCTTTGGCACCAGCGGAGCCAAGATAATGTGCCGCGCCTGCCTGGCCCCAGGGAAGCCGCCTCAGCCGCAGTGGGGATTATTATGCCCGGGTGGCCGGGCCGCGGGGGAAGAGGCGAGGTGGTTCCTGGTGGGGAAGTTCTCTCCCCGGCTGCTCCCAGCCAGGAGAAACCGACCAGCCAGCCTGACCCCAGCGCATCCCCAGCATGCTCCCCTGGCCCCGGCCTGCCCCGAGCTCCCCCCCCGGGGGACTGCGCCCGCCCTGCCGGGCCGACGAGGCAAAGAGCGGACCCCGGCTGGGCATGTGCCCCGTGGCAGCCGGCTGAGAAGGAGCCAGGCGGAGCGGAGGAGAGCCAGGGGGGTCCCGGCGGAGCAGGACCAGCAGGGCAGGGAGGCGGCAGGAGCATCCCCCGAGCAGCCGCAGGGCAAAGCCACCCGCTTCAGGCTGGAGGAGCCGAAGCTAAGCAGCAGCACTTTTGCGCTGACCGGGGACTCGGCGCACAACCAAGCCATGGTGCACTGGTCGGGCCACAACAGCAGCATGAGTAGACCCAGCACCACGACGGGGGGCAGGATGCAGACCGGGGGGCGCTGCAGTGCCGGGTCTTGGACAACGTGCAGAAAGCGGGGCTGGGCTGGTGGATCTGGCTGGTCTCTGGCCCTTCGCATCGGGTGTCACTCGGCAGTTTGCAGCCAGCCGAAAGTGCTCCCAGTGCCTTTCTGCTGCAGCAAAAGTTTTCTTCCCCCAGCCCCAACAGCCACCTGCGTTGCACTCTTGTTGCTCTTAACTGGGTGAGGCCACCGGGAGGTTTGGAGAGAGGGCAGGGGTGTGACTGGAGAGGAGAGAGCAGTATCCTCCGGGCTCCGGCTGTGCTGGGGAAGCGCCCGGCCGGGGGCGTAGGGTCTGGAGGTCTGGGGGCTGCCCGGCCAACCGTGAAGCCGGTAGCACTCAGGCAGCTGTTTCGCATGGCTGGGAGGGAGGAGGAGGAATGCGGGGTGCTCAGGGGAGGGGGCGGAGTTGGGGCAGGGACTTTGGGGAAGGGGCGGAGTTGGGGTGGGGTTGGGTGGGGAAGGGGCAGAGCCGGGGCGGGGGAAGGAGCAGGGCCAGGACCCGTGGATGTCCTCTTTTTGTAATGCTTAAATATGGTAACCCTACAGGTGCAGCCTGTGGAGTTAATAGGCCTACCTGTCCACCTTAACCCCTTTCAGTCATGTGTGGGTGGACACCCCATCACCGTTATCCAAGCTACATTATGTGATTTCTGTTCCCTGATTTGATGCTCTAACCTTTATAAATAGGTGCAATGTTTGAAAAACTCACCAAGGCATTGAATCCCTCAGACCACTTCAGGCAGAGAAATGCACTAGGATAGAAAAAAAGAGTCTAATCAATTTTCAGACATTTAAAAATCTCTTCCTTTACTCTTTTTCCACAGAAAGATATTTGTATTTGATTATGGTTGTGGACCCCTGGTTTAAAAATACTTTGTTTCCTTCCTGCCTCAGGAAGAGAGGAAGATATCAAACAGATTGATGGGCTGCTAGCAGGCTTTACATTTAGTTTTCTCTTGTCACATTCATGGCCTATGCCTGTGCAATGTGTAGTGATGGCTCAATAAGGCAGTTATCCCCTGGTGCTCATCCTCATGCCTTGGCATCTGGTTGCACAGCAGATATCTTCCTCCATGTTCTAGAGCTGGAAGATTATCAAAGTGTCTCCTTTCTGCTGCTGAAGTATCCCTCCTCCTATGTGCTTTTGCCCTCTCTTTCATCTCTGCTGCTAATGCTGATGATCAGGTATCAGACAATGCTGTTGTATTTTTGAAAATCACTCGATTTCTCATGCTCTTTCTGCCTTACTGCTCCCGAAACCCACACACAAAACCAGTATATATAGGGGGACTGGATGAATACTTCTGATACAAATACACAAATCTGGGCACAATAAAGTGTAACACACTAATAGAGCGTGTGTGTGCCAAATCTCCCTCTAGCGCGCCACAGAGAGGATTACAGCCTACTACCACGATCCGCTAACGGAGTTGCTCCTATAGCCCAAGTGATATCACTCTATGCTTTGCTCATGAAGGTCCTGGATTTGAGTCGTGCCAACGTTCTGGGCTGGGAGGTCACAGCATGTGCTCATTCATGTGTAGGCCAGTGGTGTAAGGGCTGGAGGTGAACACACCTGAATGTGCCTGTGGACTCTGGGACTTTGCTGATCTCTAAAAATAAACCGTGAGTAGGGTGCGGCCAGGGGAGGAGTGTGAAGGGACATTTGTCCATTAGACTTTCACACTGCAAGTTGGGAAAAGGACACTTGACTAGGCAAAGGACACTAGTCAAGATACTGTGGGATGGGTGTCTTACTTATGGGTGTCTTACCCCCCGACACTTTACTTATTATTTGCATGTTTTTGAGTTATTACTGTGGTCCCAAATTAATGCTGTGGTCCCTCTCCCCTCAATAAAAAAAAGTTTTTTCTTCTGTTATAAACAGAGTCAGTGCTTGAGAGTGGAGAATCGTTGCCTATTACGAACATTCAGGGGAGGTATTTTGTTTTCCTAGGTTTCTGAGTGGGTGTTCGAGACGGTTTTGTTTTGAGGAACCCTTAGATATTGAATCTGGCTTTTACTTCTGCAGGCATCAGCTGGCAGAAGAGTTACACATGCATATCTGAGTGCTTCCCTAAATATTCATGCAAACAAAATCCTGTCATCAGAGTACTCACCAGAGAGCAAATGAGTATGAACACGGTCAGATCATATCACAATTTGGAATTCCCTAACAGGTTTGTTTGATCAGATCAGAATTCCCTAATGTGTTTGTGCATCATTTTCCCCACTGTTTCTCCAGCTCTAGCTACACCTGGATAAACCCAGAGTTACTCCAGGGAAGCCAGTGACATTATTCCACATTTACAGTAGGGCATTGATAGAAAATATCTGGCCAAGTTTTGCTAATGAGTGGCTATTTTATCTGTTTAGTGCATGCTGTCCTTTTAATGAGACTAAAACAGAAAAACAAAAGTCCTCCTAAAGAGACTAAAAAAAACATATGTATTTCTTTCTAAGCATTATGAATATTTTTGATCTATGGATTTCCATAGTGCTTATTTACTTTGTTCAATATTTTGAGTTGCTAGATTACACAATAAACAGTGCAACAAAAAGAAATGGAAAGTAAGTTATCAGTGAATATAGCTTTTGTCATTTTCCCCATACAACACAGAGCCTATGACTATACCTACTATCAATTCGCTGCAAAGAAATTTGGTCCTCAGCACCACAATGTCCATTTGGATTGATCCCAAAGCCAAGGTTTCAGACAGTACGAGCTTGATATGAATTCAGAGAGAAAAAACAACAGCAAGACCCAACATTCATGGTCAACAGGTAGCCACATTGTGGATATTCCTGGACTAAGAAGTAAATAGTCTGTATTCAGTAAACTCAGCTCATCTAACTAGCATGTATCTTAAGGGGATCACATTGCTGGCACCGCCTAGTGCTCATGCATGGCATAGCAGGCTCTCTTCCTTCCTGGTGGCCCCTGTTGACAGCTGCTCTAGTCCTGCAACAGTCGGCACTTTCCTGCGACTCAGACTCTGGCCAGGCCATGAATCGCATCCACCCTTTTCAGGGTATACAGAGAATCCAATAAAGGAAAACCCTGCTGTCAGGCAAGGGGTCCCAGGCCTCACCAGGCCAAGGTGCCAGAGGCATGGCCCTCCAAATTATATGATCTTCCAATCCAGATTCCCCTGTATCTGAGGGAGGTTTTCACCTTCAGCCCCATCCAGATATTGTAGGAGAATCTTGGCTCACCCTCTCTGCTAGGTGCCAATCCAAGGCTCTGTGGTGGGCAGCAAGTTTCTGCACCCCCAAAGAGTGCTGCGTCTCTGCTCCTCTAGATTGCTTTCCCCCAGTCTCCTTACAGAAAAGGGCAAAAACATAGAAACAAAATAAATCAAAGGACAGCCCCCAGACCATGCAAGCGTACAGAGTCCTTCTTCCCCTGAGCAGATCAGGTCAATTCTCAATAGTCAGGAACCCAAGGCAGCTGAAACTCCCGTAAAGCTCCCTCTGAATCAGGAGGCCCATCGGTCTATTCACCTTCACAGGCTGCCTGCTAGTGAGCTCCTCCTCCAGCCCATGTATGCTTTTCAGATGTGCTGGGGTGGGGTTGCCTTGGCCCAAAGTATCTCTTTAACCCCTTCCTTTCCAGGATGGGGTTTGTACTCCCCATCGCAAGGTGGGTTTCTTTTTTCTAGTGTCTGAAGTCACTGCATTATTAATACAGTCTCTTTAAGTTCTAAGGTTTTTTTTTAACCCTCCATATTAATATTTAGCATGGAATCTTGACATGTCACCTTCCTGTTTTTTTCTTCTTGGTTCAACAGTGCTAGATTTTTATTTGCATTTAGGTTATTTGTTGTTTACCAATACCAGTCTTCTTCTTTCAGATGCCGGTAGACTAGGAGATACACTGAGCAGCACAGCACGGGGAGGAGGTGACCAGCCCTCTGTGGAGAAAGAAGTGGTTCAGGACTATTTAGAAAAACTGGACAAGCACAAGTTCATGGGGCCAGATGTGCTGCATCCGAGAGTGCTAAAGGAGTTGGCAGATGTGATTGCAGAGCCATTGGCCATTATCTTTGAAAACTCATGGTGATGGGGGGAGGTCCCAGATGACTGGGAAAAGGCTAATGTAGTGCCCGTCTTTAAAAAAGGGAAGAAGGAGGATCCGGGGAACTACAGGCCAGTCAGCCTCACCTCAGTCCCCAGAAAAATCATGGAGCAGGTCCTCAAGGAATCAATTCTGAAGCACTTAGAGGAGAGGAAAGTGATCAGGAACAGTCAGCATGGATTCACCAAGGGCAAGTCATGCCTGACTAACCTAATTGCCTTCTATGAGGAGATAACTGGGTCTGTGGATGAGGGGAAAGCAGTGGATGTGTTATTCCTTGACTTTAGCAAAGCTTCTGATACAGTCTCCCACAATATTCTTGCCAGCAAGTTAAAGAAGTATGGGCTGGATGAATGGACTATAAGGTGGATAGAAAGCTGGCTAGATCATCGGGCTCAACGGGTAGTGATCAACGGCTCCATGTCTAGTTGGCAGCCGGTTTCAAGCAGAGTGCCCCAAGGGTCAGTCCTGGGGCCGGTTTTGTTCAATACCTTCATTAATGATCTGGAGCAGGAGTCGGCAACGTTCGGCACGCGGCTCGCCAGGGTAAGCACCCTGGCGGGCCAGGCCAGTTTATTTACCTGCTGACGTGGCAGGTTCGGCCGATCGCAGCCCCCACTGGCCACGGTTCACCGTCCCGGGCCAATGGGGGCAGCGGGAAGCCGTGGTCAGCACATCGCTCACCCGCGCCACTTCTCGCCGCCCCCATTGGCCCGGGACAGCGAACCGCGGCAAGTGGGGGCCGTGATTGGCCGAACCTGCCGCATCAGCAAGTAAATAAACTAGCCCAGCCCGCTAGGGTGCTTACCCTGGTGAGCCGCATGCCGAACGTTGCCGACCCCTGATCTGGAGGATGGTGTGGACTGCACTCTCAGCAAGTTTGCAGATGACACTAAACTGGGAGGAGTGGTAGATACGCTGGAGGGTAGGGATAGGATACAGAGGGACAAATTAGAGGATTGGGCCAAAAGACTGTTCCCTCATCAATCTCTGTTGTGCTCTTCAGCACAAAATAAACAGGAGTATAAATCATATTACTCTGGAGGCCATGCCTAAACGCTTCTGGTGGGCCTGCTCTCCACTTTCAATGGGCCTCCGTAATAAGGCAAAGTGAAAGCTCTCTTTGTTACCATAGTCTATGGGACCCGAATAGTGACCAAAAAAACCCAACAGATTATTGATTTGGAGCACTTGAGGAATGGAATTCTTCCTCAGACTTCTCCATGCCATCCAACAATGAAAAATAAAGTTCTTTTTATCAGTCTTCACTAACAGCTAAGACAAGATTTCACACACACCCCTAATTTGCATTCAGGCAATTTCCATGTTTCCCCCTAAACTTCTGAGTTTTTTTGTTTCAACATGAAACCTCACCACTTTCCATTTGATTTCTCAGAGTTGTTAATTGCCTCCAGGGGGTGTTACCTCTTAAGGTCTTAAGTGGCTTTACTTGGTATCCTTATCATTCAGCAACTCAAGACTGGGCCAAAATGTGTTATCTAATAATGCAGTGGTTTTAAAATTTACAAATACTTATTTCCGAGGGAAATATAATTTCTCTTTTTACTACAACAACCACATAAACTCATCAGGAAGATTTTGAGTTTAGGATATTCATTATACACTAAATATTTTACACTTTTCCAAAAGACTTTGCAAACATTAGAAGCCAGA